AAAGTCATTGAAAAATGCTTGAATTACTCTTTGAAATGGTTGTACAAACCCAGAAATGAAATAGAGCTGTTGTAATTATTATTATCATTATTATTGTCTTACTTTTTAATTTTATTTCACAGAACAACAGTAAAATTCCAATAGTAACATTTATGAATGTTGATGGAGTTCTTGCTCAGCTTTTATTTTGGCAGAAACCTGTGCAGGAAGATCTCAGTGCTTCTTTTTGTTGACGACAGCAGATTTATAAATGACGTCTGTCGCACGTATCGCATTGTCACATGCCTTTAAAAAAATGCATACAAATGTAACTGAGCAGCTGACGAGCAACACTGTTTCAGTGCAGATTTTCCTCACAGTGCTAAGCAGTCTCTCGCTTGCAATGATTTTCACATTTTTCTCGGACACTTTTAAATGCTTCCACACTGCTGACATGTTTGCTGCATTAGTGTGCGCCTCTATTTGATCGCGTCACACAATTGTTCGGTACAATTTATTCGGCTGACCACCGAAAGAGCTTTTTTTTTGCTATTTTCGGCTAAATAAATTAGGTTGCTGAACATTCGGTGCATCCCTACAAAGTAGGGCTGCACAATTAATCGAATTTGCAATCGCAATTACAATTATGGATGCCACAATTACGTAATCGTTCAAAGCGGCAATTAATCGTTCAAAGTCCACTTATGTTATTCTGCACGCTTAAGATGCTTTGTTATCTTAAGGGTTTTTCCCATTATTTTAATTTTAGTTTTAGTAATTCTCACCCCCATCAGGCAGCGGCACATGTTGGCGTAGGCGACGGAGAAGTTGGGCTCAGAGATGGCCTTCTCGAAGATGAGGTCGATGACTCCCTTCAGACGCTCCTCTGTGTCGATGGTGAGCTCGGTCACCTGCTTCATCAGCGGCTGGAACATCTGCGGCGTTAGTTTGTTCAGCACGCTCCGCACGCGTTTGAACAGCTCCTGCGTCGTCAGGAAGTCGGGCTCGGGCTCGTCCTCGTCGGCACGCCCGCTGCGCTTCACCATCGGTTTCCAGGCCTTCTCCGCTTTATTCAGCTGCACGTCTTCGGTGAGGGAAACACTCGCGATGATCTTCCGCGGCTCCTTCCCGCGCTGACCCTGACCTGAACGACGAGGACCGCTCAGACCAGACGGCTAGTGAGAGAGAAAGATCTGCA